CGTTGACGCGCACCTTTAAAAAAATTTAACTACACATCGGAACGATGCATAGCGCATGCTCTGTGATTGGTCGGATTGGTAGTGCTGACGAGTCTGGGTGGAGGTTAGAGCCCGATGGCGCAAGCCCGATGGAGCGAGTGTTTACAAGTTTGGAGTCTCGTGAAGCAGCTCCGGATGGAGACTGTTTTTTTTTGTGTTTACCTTAAGGCTAAAGTTGTTGCATGTCTGCCGATTCCAGCCACAAAAGGAGCAAGTTTGAGCTATATACTGGTACATTAATGTAGCGTTCAGAAAAAAAACAAAATACCAGCAAAGAAACTAGACACAGAGAAACATAAACAGCTACTGCCAGCAATTGTTTCTGAAGTGTTATGGCAGAGCAACAGAAAAAGTGCGCAGAAGTATAAGTGCACAGCTACGCAGATTGCATGCGTCGTGGGTCATGTCAATTACTTGATGCAGAAGTATAAACCAGGCTTAAGGTAATGACGAAATATATGTAGAGAGTTGAAGGCTGTTACACAATATGGGTTCATACGGTTTGTCAAGGTACATCAATATATAGTGTACAAATAAAGAATTCTCAATATGTTAATAAATAAATATTTGTTTTGCATTTTTATACTAGGTAGATCGTTTTGAGTTGGTCATTTTATAAGAAGCTTGGATGCTGAAAAAGTGTGGGCACCCCTGCTGTAAGATGTCAAATGGAGTGACACCCCAACAAAAGTTAATGGGGAAAAATATTTTTACATTTGCTTTTTTTGTTTTGTTTTGCACAACAAGGTTATGAGGTGCAACCAACATGGAGGAAAATACCAGGGATGATGGGGAAATAAAACTAGCAAAACACCAGCGTCAAGTGAGGACAACTGATAAAAAAAGTATATCTATTTACCACAGTTGAAGTCAGAATTATTAGCCCATCTTTGATTTTTATTAATTAATTAATTTATTTTATATTTCCCAAATGATGTTTAACAGAGCAAGAAAATGTCCACTGTATGTCAGATAATATTTTTTTCTTCAGGAGAAAGTCTTATTTATTTTATTTAGGCTAGAATAAAAGCAGTTATTATTTTTTAAACACTATTTTAATGACAAAACTATTAGCCTCTTTAAAAATATATATTTTTTTCCATAGTCTACAGAACAAACAATCATTATACCTGGCTAGTTAACCTAATTAACCTAATTTAATGTAAAGCTGTATAGAAGTGTCTTGAAACATGTCTAAAATGTTATTTACTGTCATCATGGCAAAGATAAAATATATGAGTTATTAGAAGTGAGTAGTTAAAACTGTTGTTATGTTTAGAAATGTCTTAAAAAATCTGCTCTCCATTATACAGAAATTAGTGAAAAAAATAAACAGGGGGTCTAATAATTCAGAGGGGCTAATTTTGACTTCAACTAAATAATGGTTAAGTCTACATTACCATGTATGTAAGGTTAATGGTTCCTTGATGGTTATACCACATGTGTATTTAAGTCAGTTAATTTGAAAAACGTTTGTTTGAAATGCTATAAATAAATAAATACACCGAATGATTACATCAGTCACCTTTTACTTAAACTAATTGGTCTCCTAGTTTTCTGAAGAAGAAAAGAACTCTGGAAATCCTCCAAAATGAGTTTAAGGCATAAACAGATGACGACTGGAGTTTGAGCTGCAATGTACTACCACAGTGAGTGTTATTGTCCAGGGTCTCCTTCACTCTTGATTATTGCGGCATTTAGTGCGATCATGGTTAAAGACCGCTGTGGACAGCTTTCCTTTACTTAGTCCTCCGCCGTAACACTTCAGCCCAAGTGAACAGCCTTAATGTACTTCTTAATGCGAGCTAAGCCTCCAAACGTCACTTGATAGCCTTAGCTTTTTTCACTTTTCCACCAATCACCAGAACAATTGTATAGTTCAGTCTTAAATATATTCCATTGACTTCGCTGGGAACGTAGCTACTGTTTCTGGAGGGCTACAGTGACACCTCACATGGATATTCAGATTAATTTCCAGACTCTAACTGGGTCACTGTAAAGCCAGACTTAGCAAATGGCTACTGTTAAGGGTAAATGCAGGGCTGACCCCATTAGCTTCACTTTTACGTTTTTTTTTTTTAGAGGACATTTTTTCAAGGGTTTCTGAGCACAGTGTGACTATTTAGTTGTGAAATAAAGAGGGGAAAGGCTGCCTGTGGAGAAAGAGGGAGCTGGTCTGTGTTTACCTTGGCAATGCGATAGGGGGCTTTTGACCTTTAAGGTCTGAATTTACAGCATCAAGTTTTAAATGTCAAGCTCTACCATTAAATCAATCAGGAAAATACCAAAATGATTTTTGGACGTACACCCCTCTGTCAGAGTGAAAAAGAAAATTCTTTTAAACACGTAGGGTTCCTCTGAAAATCGCTTTTCCCTCCGGTGACAGAGTTCTGGCCCAATTTTAATTGACCCCCCTCTGACAGATCGACTCTTTTGAGAGAATTCAGTTGACTGATTCATTGAGATTGTGTTTTTATGCTACACATACCTCAGTCTACACCTTTGTATGTTATATTTTATTTCAGTTCAATCAAGTTTATGTTTTTACAGTATTTATTGTTCCAAAGCAGCTTTACAAAATGTGCACATCATTACATTATGGTCAAAATCAGAAAAGTGGTTGTGTAAAGGCTTAGCATTATACATAACCTCCAGTTATAGAGTCTTTCCAAAATAAATAATATCTACATGTAATAATAATACACTTGGGGTGTCACAGTGGCGCAATGGGTAGCTCGATCGCCTCACAGCAAGAAGATCGCTGGTTTGGGCCTCTGTGTGGAGTTTGCATGTTCTCTCCCTGAACTCGTGGGTTTCTTGCGGGTGCTTTTTGTGGGTTTCCCCCACAGTCCAAAGACAAGTGGTATAGGTGAATTGGGTAAGCTAAATTGTCCATAGTGTATGTGTGTATGAGTGTGTATGGATGTTTCCCAGTGATGGGTTGCAGCTGGAAGGGCATCCGCTGCATAAAACATATGCTAACTTAGCAGTTCATTCTGCTGTGGTGACCCCTGATTAATAAAGGGACTAAGCCGAAAATGAACTGAGTGACTGAATAATAATACATGTTAAGTGTTTCTTCAAATATCTCAAATTTTTGGCATCATCTCTTTAGGTCCTTATAGGGTTGGCATTATCTCTTTACAGGTTTTTGGATCTGATTGAGTGGCTCTCCACAATCTAGGAGCCTTGGATATCTATTGCTCTATATCAGATATCTGTTGAAGTTCCCAAAAGCCTGTTAGTTGTTTTTTTATTATTTTGCACTCAATTCATCATGAATTTTTAATAAGCTATATTTTGCTACTTTATCTTTAGGATTTCTATACGTATTTAGTATCAACCCACAAACCACTGGTTGAACATCTGATGCACGTGGCATGCAAAGTTACAATCACTTCAGTAGTTTTAAAAACTTCAAAGTTTGAATTGCTTAACTTCAGGTCTTCTAGTAGGAAAAGTGTGAATAGAGTTCTTCACTGTCCACCTGGTCCTGGAAACAAAGCCATCATGATGGCAAAGCCCCTCGAATGGAAAAAGAAATGAATCTTATTTACATCTGTAGTCATCATTCTCATGATCAACCAAAGGATGTTTCTAAATAAATAGTTGGGATGTTAATTTGCAAAACAATATACAACAATGAAGTCATTTGAATATTTGAATCCATACTTTTGATATAGGATGTTGATATTGTGATCTTTTTTTATTTTTATTTTTTATCTTTGTTGTATTAGGTCTTATCAAACTTTTTGCTAAATGTTGAAATATATGTTGCATATATATATATATATATATATATATACATACACACACACACATATAAAGTTGAGTTCAGAATTATTCACCCCTTGAATCATTAACACCCCTGTTTATTTTTTTCCCCAATTTCTATTTAACGGAAGAAAGATTGTTTCAGCACATTTCTAAACATAATAGTTTTAAAAACTTATTTCTGATAACTGATTTATTTTATCTTTGTCATGATGACAGTAAATAATATTTGACTAGATATTCTTCAAGACACTTCTATACAGCTTAAAGTGACATGTAAATGCTTAATTAGGTTATTTAGGTTAACTATGCAGGTTAGGGTAATTAGGCAAGTTATTGTATACGGATGGTTTGTTTTTTAGACTATCGGAAAAAAAATAGCTTAAAGGGGCTTATAAGTTGTCTGAAAAATGTTTTTTAAAAATTTAAAAACTACTTTTATTCTAGCCGAAATAAAACAAATAAGACTTTTTCCAGAAGAAAAAACGTAATCAAACATCAAACATACTGTGAAAATTTCCTGGCTTTGTTAAACATCATTTGGTAAATATAAAAAAAAAAAAAAAAAAAAAAAAACATTTCAAAAGGGGGCTAATAATTCTGACGTGTGAAATCTAAACAAGAACTTGTATGTTAAATGTGTAATTTGCATATGTGCCATATATCAGGTTTATACACTGTGAAAAAAATCCATAAATTAGCATTTTTCTGCATTTTGTGATTTATGTTTTTATTTTCCCCTTTATTTATACTTTTGAATGGCATTTTGGTACCTCGATCTCAAAAAAAGTGACTTTTATTAACAGTTTTATTAGTTTGAAGCGAAATATTGTCTGCGTTGGTGCTGTATGTTACGGTACAGCCAGTACATTTTCTGTTATTTTAAAGACTTGTTTCTCTATATATTATTTCTCACACTTTACATTATTTCAAACTACTAAAATGTCAATAAAAGTCACTTTGTTGAGTTGTAGAGATGAAATATCAACATCATAAATTGACAGAGCAGAGATCAAGGTCCCAAAATACAATTAATAACAGTTAATAAAGGAAAAAACACTTGTCAATCACAAAATACATGAACTGCCAATTAACTGATTTCTTTTAGTGAGAACCCTAAACGTTTATTCTACCTAATATTATAAACTCCTAATCTGTGTTATAAATTTTTTTGTTTGTCATCTCAGGGCTGCTCAGAAGCTGAATCTATCATCCAAAAGGAAGAAGCAGCAGCCGCCACTGGTGTACCCCCAGGAGCCCTCCATCTACCCTACTAACTTTAGTGCTGTCCTCCAGTTTTCCCCTCCACCTGCTCCACCATGTCTGCTCAGGGCAGGGTCAAAGGCCAAGGAGAACCCTGGCATGGGCAAGGTCAGGCAGCTTTTCTTCTTTTACCTCCACCATTGTAATAGCTAATTCACACAATAGGGGCTGTTTACGCAACAATATTTTCAACCAAAAACAGGGAACGTTTTATAAATTTTGTCTGTTTATTTTTACAGCAGTGGTGTTTTTGACACTGAAAATGGGTTCAATGTTTATAAAGTTTTGAAAAATACCACCACGGTCTTGTTTTAAGATATAATATGTCAAAATGAAATGAGTTGTTTCTTAAAACAAGCAAAATGAAAATGTTCCAAAAGGAAAAACAAGATTATTTTGCTTGTTTCAAGGAAAACTCACTTAATGTTGGCTTATTATTTCTTAAAACGAGTCAATCATCTAGAAAGTGCTTCTTGATCTAGAATTTTTTTTTTTTTTGATATTTGGACTAGAAAGAAGACAACAAATCTAAATAACAAACTTTTTTTTTTGCACTAAAGTTGACAGTTACTGACCTGGTATAGGTAATGCAGATTTTTGGTCCATTTTGCAAGTGTGTCAGTGCAGATCATTTTGAATATGTTGTGTAAATGTGGAGCTTCTTTTAAAATCCAAGTAAAAACATACATTTTCGCTGTACTGTTGTCATGTAAACGCACCCTTAATCTTTCACAAAAATGCATTTGGAATCCATCATCCAGCCATATACAGTACCCAAAACTACCCAAGTTTCTGAGTACGGTATGTTATTGATGGTGAACAGATTGTGTGTTTAGGTTTCTCAAATTGGGATTTTGGCCAAGACTAGAATTCTTCAGTATGTACATATCCCCTCCTCAATGTCCAGAGGGTTTGTCTTTAGCACTATATTACAGTATATATGGTGATGAAGAGGATTTGTTCCAGATTAGATGCCACCTGCTCTGAGAGATGATTGTAGAGTGTCATGCCAAAAGCTGTAGCCCAGTGAAATGATTGATAAGTACCCACTGAGAATGGACTCATTACGTCCCAGCCTCACTAATGAGCTTCCTCTTCCTACTACTGCAAACACGCATCTGATGCTGCTGCCTGAATGGACTCCAGTTGTTGGCAGCTTTTGGGAGAACTAAAAAAAGCTGCAGGCATTAGAATAATGGCTCAGCCGTCTGTGTAACCATTTTGTTTGCACAATGACCAACTTATCCAGAAGGATGCAAGACATGTGCTGTAATTTCAGTAGCTGTCTAGCTCCAAAAAGGACAAAATGCTGAGTAAAAGTGTGAATTTTAAACGGTATTCCAAGCCTTCAGAAGCCAAAAAAGACTGCATATTTGCTGAAAATGTTTACTGTATTGTTCCCATTGATGTCAATGGTTCTCACATGTCTCATGACAAAAGTGAGAAGAGTGTGAAATGCCAGCTTTGACACTAGAACTACCGGTAATTTTGATGGTCCATTTGAGTATTGGTAGAATGTCTGCTTGATATGTTAATACTGCTCCTTCAACAGACATTTAACTGACCATAAGACACTTTGCAATACATGTCAACTTAAACTAACCCTAACCCCAAGCTAAAAGTCGTCTTATAATCTAATGAGAATTAGTTGGAATATGGATGCAATGTAGCTTAAAGTCAACAAATTGACAATCAAAATAAAGTGGGACCAAATTAACATTCTGGTCATTTTCAATTTTTGTAATTTAATAACTTTGTTAAATTAAATCTATTTATAGCACCCAGACTTTTTTTGTAGACGTGTGAATATTTCATTTTAACATTTGTCATTTTAATAATAATTACAAAATATTTCCGAAAATTTATACGTTTAATATTATGGTGGTCCCTCATTAATCATGGATGTTACTTTCTGGCTTTAACATTTTTCCTGCAGTCAGTAGCTACGTTTCCATCCACATATTTTTTATGCGCATTTTGTTGTGTATAAACTTTTTATTTCATAAGAAAAAATGTGCATAAACTACAGTGGAAACACTTTTACCAAACACATTCCAGAATGTGCATTAAAAAAGTCATGTGATTTTGTTATGAGAGATCATGTGATGCTAAAAATGTTTGTGTATAGACAAATCAGCTGGCTTGAGCACACTGTAAAACATCTAAAATGTGTTTTGGTGATTCTAAAACGTCTTAACAATCTCAAAATTAGTGTTATATATTATAAATTTTCTGTAGAATTGTGGATTGCGTCTGTGCTCTGCGGTTGACGCTCGTTGACGTCTTCAAACGCCACCACACGTTCATTGCATGTCAGGATTTTCTTTTTAGGCACAAAACATTTATTAAATAAATAAATTTGAAAAAGATTTACGCAGCTTCTCCTACCACAGCAAATAACAATCGCAGAAAAAAAAAAAATCTTTAATGTTGATATTTGGCACCAGTTAATCAGGAAGTGACGATTCTGTTTGCTTTGATTGGTTGCATGTAAACACTGCTTTATTCGCACATCTTTTATGTGGCATTCCAGTTTTGTGCATTAAGTTAATTTGCATTTTTGGATGGAAACATAGCCACTGATCCACAAAGATAAAGCTAAAGTGAAGAGTTACAAGAGGAGTTAAAAGAGGATCAAGCATTAATTAGAGGGGTCAATCCTCACTAAACACCCTTGTAATTTGCACCCTGGGGATATAGTAAAAGCAAAGACTATAGAATATATATGACATGACATATCACTCACATAGGTTTTAATGGGGAATAGTGTAACAGTCATTATTGCTGAATGAAGCCCTGCCTGCTAGTACAGGAGCCAATCACGACTGACGATTTTTCAGGGGAGGGGCTGCAGATTTTGAAATACGAATGTTTAGAAATTAAACTAAAGACACAGTTGTTGTTTAATTTCATTGTTGATTCCTAATATGAAATTTAATTGTAAGCTTGGCAAGCAATTTTAAAGAATTTAATGTTTCCCCATTCAAACAAAATGCCTGAGCAAACTGCCTGAGAGGCGTTTCAAAGATGGCCACCAAGTGCATTGACTTGCCTTAAAGGGATTTTGGTAAAAGTAAGCATTAATGTTCACGTTATTCTGATTGTAGGCTGTATAGTGTGGATGAAGATAACTTCTACAATAAATACAATGTTTTCATTCTAACATGTGATGTTGTAACAGTGACCGCAGTCTGACCATTGGTTTTTATTTTATTTTTGTTTGGTATGATATATGTCTCAAACTGTCCCTTAATAAGTCATTTAATTGTCCACTTATAACTCTAACAGAGCTCCAGTTGTCGGTAGATGTTTGACACATCGAGTTAATTACACTTTGGATTGTTGCAGAAGCTTGTAGGACGTCATTTCGAGAGCAGAGTTTAGGAGGTGTGAAGCCAGCAGCCACACTACAGGGATCAAACTCTCCTCACGTATCAAATTGCCAACAAATGTAAAACTCGACAGTCCCACATTTCTGTGGTGTCTGGGTGGCTGGTCCCATTCGGGGGGCCCGTCATATATGGTAGCCTATTTCCAATGTCACGGCCGGCGTGATTCGTTCACCACGTGCACATGTCCATCAGTGTAATCGGCCCCTGCGGAGCGGAAAAGGGGGAGTTCATACCAGGCCGCCGCTGTGGCGCAGGCATGCCGCTTGGCCCCGGGTGCCGTGGAATAGGATCAGTAGTGCAGACATTGTTTCGTAGCACTGGAGCCTGAATGTTGTAATTATATCTCTGCTACAAATCACCCGTGGAAGACTGTGGCTTTGTGCGGCTCTGAATGCTGTATTAAGGGCAAGAGGCTTTCCTTAAGTGTGTTTGTTTTTCTTTACTGTATTCGCTGCAAATGGTCTTAGTAGCGCACCGTGACACAATCGTCACTATGTGTGGCATTGCTAAAGATGGTCTATTTGTTAATGGCTGGTTTTGTTGGTTTACTTTGTGTGTGGTCAGCAGTGATGATGCAATTACAGTTTTCTTTTTTTATGAAGTAAGTTCCCTTTGTTATTCAGCTGTTTGGTTTGTAAAATGAGTTGATGTTAAAACAGGAATAGCTGCTCGACAGTCATAAGTGCTATATATTATTTTTGGTAAATTAATAATGGTATATATAGTTGAAGTCAGGATTATTAGCCCGCTTTAATTTTTTTTTTTTATATTTTACAAATGATGTTTAACCGATCAAAGAAATTTTCACAGTATGTCTTAAAATATTTTTACTTCTGGATGATATTAAAAAAAAAAAAAAAAAAAAAAAAAATATATATATATATATATATATATATATATATATATATATATATATATATATATATATATATATTATACAATAACTTACAATAACTTGCCTAATTACTTTAACCTGCCTAGTTAACCTAATAATCCTAGTTAAGCCTTTAAATGTCACTTTAGGCTGTATAGAAGTGTCTTGAAAAATATCTAGTTAATATTATTCAACTGTATATACCGTTGAAGTCAGAATTATTAGCCCCCTTGAATTATTAAAAAAAAAAAAAAAAAAAGGAAACTGCTTTTATTCTAGCTGAAACAAAACAATTAAGGCTTTCTCCAGAAGAAAAAAAAATATTGTCAGACATACTATGAAAATTTCCTTGCTCCGTTAAACATAATTTGGGAAACATTTAAAAAATGAAAAAAAACAAAAAACAAAACAAAAAAAAAAAAACAAAGGGGGGCTAATAATTCTGAATTCAATATATATATATATATATATATATATATATCAGAGGTCGCGTTAACCGAATATTTTCCATCATTGACAGATTTTCTCTTTATCTGAAAGTGATCCGTCATTTTGATGGATTTTGCTGAGGAAGATCTATTGTAATTTGTAGCTAACTGTAATTCTGACTTTTGTCCAGCTGATCGCGATTGTCCTTGTTTTGTCTCCTCTTTGTCACCGCTGCGTACAGTTGCAAAACTATCATAGCAGCTGAGTGTGAGAAGTTTCTTTAAACGGCCAAGTAGTTGTAATATTAAAAATAAAGGTGAAAAAAGAGGAAGTGATGCAGTGGAAGATGAATAATAACGATAACACTTTACAATAAGGTTCATTAGTTAATGCATTTACTAACATGAACTAATCATGAACAACACATGTACAGCATTTATTAATCATAATTGAACATTTAATAATGCATTATTAACATCCAAACTCATGCTTGTTAACATTAGTTAATGCACCATGAGTTAACATGAACTAACAATGAACAACTGCATTTTCATTAACTAACGTTAACTAACATGAACAAATACAGTGGTAAATGTATTGTTTATTGTTTGTTCATGTTAGTAAATGCATGAATTAATATTAACTATTGTACCTTATTGTTAAGTGTGACCGAACAAACCGACAAAAATCTTTAGTCGCCGACAGCTGCTACGAGCCAACCAAGGAGGTCAGGTGCTTTGGAATGTGTTGTGAGCACTACGGAACGCAGAGGGGTGCAGCTGCGCCCCTGGTGCAGAAGAAGCGCGTGCTATAGTATTTTTTCCCAGTAAAACGAGTGCTTGCATGATCGGGAAATCCCTCATTCAGAGAATCCAGCAAACTTGGTTCTGATCACAGTCTTAGGAAAAATGTTTCTAAACTACAAAACGCTGGTTGAAGTGGCGCTATTTCCGGTCTTTAGTCACGAGAAGTCGACTTTCCGAGGCAAAGACACAGAATTTAATGACAACTGCCTCTGCATCAGTCTCCCTTGATGCGTTTGATTACACACAGGCAAGCACCCAGTTCAGGTCGATGCAGGAGGAAGATATGAGTTAAGGCAGATAGGAGTTTTTGTTCATTTGTCAAATAAATAAATGAATAATTTAACCTATATGCTCATCAAGTTCAAACCCGACCTCTGATATATATATATATATATATATATATATATATATATATATATATATATATATATATATATATATATATATATAAATATATATATATATATATATATATATATATATGCATATTTATAGCATATAGGTGATGTCTGTGTGTACCTGTTCAATGAAATGTATTTGTGTATAAAGCGTATGTGTTGTCCAGGAAGTCCTAGATGGTTGGCATAATCTCTTCACTGCTATTGAATCCCATCAATGGCGCTGCACAATCTCTAGAGGCCTCGGGATGGGCATCCCCAGGTGGAGAACAAAGAAATAATTAACGTTGCTACTGTTCATGATTTGAACAAAATGAATTATATAACTAAACATACAAACAAACAAAACCTATAAGTATTTCAACAAAATGTCTGTTGCATTAAGACATGAAAAGTGTGTCCAACAGGTGGTTTGTCAAGCCCACTCAGCCACATGGAGCACATTCATCATACCATGTGATGCATTGTGTGTATGCTTTACTTAAAAAGATAGGTCTTTAATCTAATTTTGATCTAAGATTGTGTGTCTGAGCCTCACACATTATCAGGATGGCTATTCCAGAGTTTGGGAGTCATAAAAGAAAAGGCTTGACCTCCTTTAGTAGACTTTGCAATTCTGGGTACTACTCCTGAGTTTTGAGATCTTAAAGAGAGAGCTGGATTGTAGCGAGACAGAAGGTTGGTTAGATAAACAGGAGCTAGATTATTTAAAGCTTTACAGGTAAGAAGCAATATTTTATAATCAATACAGAACTTAACAGGCAGCTTAATCCGCTTAATTTCTAATTAACTAAATTTCTTTATATTGTCTCAACACAAATTAATTCCATGGAGCCTAGCAATTTTTTTACAGTATATCTAATGCTAAAATATATTTAACTCTGCTATTCATTTATGCAAAAATGCAGTTTGGATACCTAAAAAACCATGCTTATGCACAGGGGCGCAACTGCACATTTACTGATGGGTATGCGGCTTCAACTTTTGCGTGCCCCCCTTCAATCCAACTATATTTTAAAACAGGCAAGTGATAAAATGTGGAAAATATTTCCATCAATAAATTAAAGATATTTTTTCATAAAGATATCAATATGCTTCATACTATTTCAGTTGTGTTCAGAATTGTGAAACTGTATTTTTTGAAGTAGTAAAAGGTATAATTACATTAAGCATGTTAAGTCGCAAAGAAATGCATCTCATACCACCCCAAATTTCTTCTCAATTTAAATTTCCCTCACTAAATGATTATAGCACCTTGACTAGCCTTGCTTTTGGACTTTTTGTATTACATTTGTCAAAACAAAATGATAGACATGGGAGTCCTAATGGGCAAAAGAACATTGCAATTACTTCTCACATGCATACTGTGAGAAGTGTAAGGTCTGTCTTTGCAAGAACAATTGACTGAAACTGCTAAAAGTGAAATAAAAAAGACTGTCAAATGTTTACTGTAAAAAAAAAAAAAACAGAAACAAACTGTGTGAAATATTCTATTTAATTGAAATGTTATAACTTTGTTTGTAGCTAAAATTAAAATAGTTTTGAGCTAAGAAGTTACCAAAAGGCCTGATGAATCAATATGATACATAATAAATTCATAAAAATACGTATATGGTATGAAAAATGGGGGGAGGGGTGGAATGATTTTTTTATTTAATAAAATACAATATTATAGGCGTATAAAATGCTAAATAAACATTTTTAACAAAAAAAATATATTTGAAACATGGATAATATGGATAATATGGATAATTTCAAAAATAGTTTTGGCACAATGGCGCCCCCCATGTGTGGCGCCCCTATGCGCCGCATATACTGCATACCCCCTTTTTGCGCCACTGCTTATGCATTTCGAGTGCAAGGTTTTGAAAACAATGCAACCTCCGTACTATACAATACTCTGACTATAAATATATGTATTATACTACACTCTATACACTCAAAAAAATTATGTTTGTTGTTTGTTCAGACTACTTATTTAAAATAAGCTGAAACAATACAATTCCTGAGTTTGTTTTGGGACAATTTACTTGTTTTAGGTTTAGTATACTTAAATTGGAAACACATAACAAGTTAACTTAATTCCTTCATATTGTCTCAAAACACATTGTGTAGAACCCAGGATTTTTTTGCTGTTTACTAAAAAATGTTGTTATGAAAATGTTTTTTAGTATATTATTTATTATAATTTCTTGTTACATTGTTATATTATGTTCTTGTTATATTGTTTAATTGAAACTGCTTATACTTTATCAGTTTCTTTTCTCTTTACCGTTTCTTTCTCTTCCCCCATATCCAGGTCAAAGTGATGATGCGTATCTGCCCATCTCTGGGGGTTGTGGATTCATCCGAGTCCATGTCCTTCCTGAAGGTGGACATGCGTAAGAAGCAGCTGACCCTCTACGACCCCTCACTCCACACACAGCCCACCTCAGTGCACAGACGAGCAGTGCTGCCCGCCCCAAAGATGTTTGCCTTCGACGCCGTTTTCTCCCAAGATGCCTCTCAAGTAAGAACCACCGCCGTAGATGTTACTGTGAGTTTTGGATCAAAAACATTTAGTTAGCGCCAAGAAGATATTCGAGAAGCACACGCACGCATTCTTTGCAAGGCATGGAGCTTAATGCGAAAAGGCCCATTTCGGGACACCGTCGTTCTTCAAAGTATGAGTCCAACAGCTGTTTCTTTATGTATAGAAAATAGTTTGAATTCCAGACTCGCATATCTAGCAGCTCATTCGCAGTTCATTATCCGTCCTCCAAAGCTCCAGTGGCATCCATCTTAAGATAAGTGGCTAACAAATGGACACGAATGTGGAAAGGGGGACTTCTTGGGACCAAAAACTTGAAGATAATTAAGTGTGGAAGATTTCGATGTGACAGGGCTACTTAAAAACTAATAAGGATGTCATCTTTAAGTACTTGTGCAAAGAACCATATGTTAAGTCTGAGATTGTACGTTTTAAAGAAAAGCCGTTGCTAGGTGGTGGAGAGTTTAAACTAAGTAGATTTAAGGGATATCGTAAGTTCATGGAAATTGTTACATGTAGAGCTTCCCACAGGTTTGAAACATACTTGCGGTGGTTGCCGGATTGATAAACACCTGTTACCTACGGTACATGGTTACCTACAAAAAATATACAGCAAATGAGAAATAAATGACATAAAGGAATAAAAATATTCATGGAATAAAAATTTCTAAAAAGTATAATAATTACAAGAATAAAAAAATATTATTTAAATAAGGCAAATGAGTTAATTAGGCTTACATATATTTTGCAGTTAGTTTAGATGTAATTTTGTTCTCTCTGAGTAAATAAAAAAAGTTTATCTGAATTGTTTAGATCAAATTATTAAATCTTTATTGTTTCTACTGTTCACGATGTCAGCTGCGAAGCCAAGCGAAAGTAAATAAGGCCTAAAATAAAAATTTAATCTAAAAAGGCATACAATTAACAATGGCTTAGAAAGCGAAATTAAAAGCCAAATCCCGGACTTCTTTTTGGGCGTCTGCAAAGTGTTCACAGTTCTCGCGCACACACAACGAGAAGTAAGAAACGTGTAGGACGAAAGAAGATTTTCCACTGGTTAATTGATTGCGGATGTTTGGCCATCGGGCGGATACAAAAAAGTGTAAAAGGATGATAATTGTAAAAAAAAAAAAAATGTCACCAAATATTAGCTGTATGAGATCCACAAGTTTATGATCATATAATTAGTAATCACCTGTTTCTAAATAGTTTATCTCTGAAAGAAAAATAAAAGTGGAGACCTGTACACAATTACAAAAATATGTTTTTTCCACCAGTCATAGCTTTCACACTGATATATATGTAAAATGTTTTGTTTTATACAATTTAATAGTTACAAAACTATATTTAGGGAACAAATTATTTCTTTGATAACTGGAAAGGAATATTTGAACCTATCGGTTTACACTTTACTTATGGCCTGTTTTTCTGGGTTTTGTTTGTGATAATGGTCAGGAATGATGGACCATTATTGCCCTTTTAGCATAAGTTTGCA